TGTGTGTGTGTGTGTGTGTGTGTGTGTGTGTGTGTACCGGGCCTGCAGCTCCAGGGATCTCTGCTTCCCTGACACCAGGAAGGTTCTGGAAACAGCTGCACTGCTCGTCTCCTTCAGCTGAGGGTAGAGATGTTCTGTTAGTTCTGCTGATCCAGAGTCCAACCAGCTCAGTTGATTGGTTCAAGTTTGTCTCAGGATCTGAGCATGCTCAGTGTTTTCTTCTTCTTGGTTCATGAACTTGTTTTGGTTTTTATGGTTAATATTCATGACTAATAAAATCCTGCAGGTCTCAGTCCTGGACCAGGGGGTAAACCTTCCTGGTTTAGGACTGTTCCACAGTTCATTTGTCTTAAAACAGAAGAACAACCACTGGAAGCCAGGACCAAGAACCTGACCAAACTGGGTCCTGGTCTCTGAGAGTCTCACCTCCATTCCATCCACATCGATGCGAGCGCGGACGCTGTACTTCTGACCAATGAGACGCAGCTTCGGGACACAGTACAGCAGTCTGTCGTTAAACTGTAAAACAGGAGAGCCGTTAGAGCCAGGACCCGGGTCAGGGTTCCACTCAGTGGACAGGAAGCAGAGTACCATACCAGGATGAGATATCGGTCCTGCGTGGTGCCGTTCTTGTTGGACAGCTTCAAGATGTGTCCCTCTTTGATGAGCTCATTAGTGGGGTTAACGATGTCTTCCTCTCCTCCCAACAACTCGTAAACCTTCAGCAGCTTCCTCATTCGCTCCTGAACACCAACAGAAACAAAACTTCCTGTTTCTGTTTAATAAATGATCACATGATGAATGATCTGTTGTGTTTTGGTTTGATGCAGGTTGGATTCAATTTTGATCGATTCAGCATCCTTCATTGAAGGCGACCTGTGTGACCTGTGTGATTGGTCTGATGGATCCTGTGATTGGTCTGATGGATCCTGTGATTGGTCTGATGGATCTGTGATTGGTCTGATGGATCTGTGTGAGTGGTCTGATGGATCCTGTGATTGATCTGATGGATCTGTGTGATTGGTCTGATGGATCCTGTGATTGGTCTGATGGATCTGTGATTGGTCTGATGGATCTGTGTGAGTGGTCTGATGGATCCTGTGATTGGTCTGATGGATCTGTGTGAGTGGTCTGATGGATCCTGTGATTGGTCTGTGGATCCTGTGATTGGTCTGATGGATCTGTGTGATTGGTCTGATGGATCTGTGTGATTGGTCTGATGGATCTGTGTGATTGGTCTGATGGATCTGTGTGATTGGTCTGATGGATCTGTGTGATTGGTCTTACCATCTTCCTGATGGCAGCATTGGAGTGTTCAGCTGCAGTAGCGATCAGTTCCAACGACTCTGCAGAAAAACAGATATGATGACCAACAGGTGAATTCAGCATTTTTTAAAAATTGTCCTACTTCAGGTGTTAGGAAGCACGGTTAGCATGGCTAACTGTTAGCACAGGTAGATAACACACATATAGACAGATAAAGTTTAGTTTATTTTTGTACTCTGTGCGTCTCTGTGATCAGGTGCGTCCTCTGGCAGTCGGTGCAGGTAATCTTTGAGCAGCAGCTCATAGCGAGGGATCCTCTGAACCGGTTCTAACATGTGGTGCTGCAGGGTCAGGTTCCCACAGCGCTCCTCCCTCTGCACAAGGACAAGACGAGCACAGTACATGAGCCCCTGAGCCAGAACATGGTGGCAGAACCCACCAGTGACCTGAGATGTACCTGAGTCTCCTGGACAATGGCCTTGAACTGAGACGACCTCTCCATCCAGGTGTTCACCAGCTCCATGGCTTGGTCAAAGTTCTTCACATACTCCCCGTACATCTTCAGGAAGGGAGCCAGCTTCTGCAGGATGTCACCGATTCGTGGGTTTGAGTCCCTAAAGGCAGAACAAGGAGGTTAAACATCTCCTTTGGATGAGGAGGAAAGATGAAGCTCCTCACCATTCCTCCATGCGTTTCTGCAGCGCCGGCAGCAGGAACTGTTGATGGAAACAGTAGATGGAGCAGATGTTGGAGAAGATTCCCTGAACAACGTCACAGGGGAAGGAGGAGCGAACCCGAGCCTCCTCTAGGAGTCGTGCACAGAAAACCTGCAGGAGGACCATGAGGTGTCAGTCACTAACAGATTTACCCCTGAGGTTTAAAACAACAACAGACAGGACCCTGCTGGGCTCCTGGAGACCCACCTGGTCCAGCAGGTGGAGCTTTGACACGTAGGCAGTCTCAGTGTGTAGCAGCTCATTAGCGATGTTGAAGACCCTCTGATGGACAGACAGCTGGACACAAACAGTAAGTAAAGTTTAACAACCAGAGACTCACAGATTATAAGAGGAACAGAGTTCTGGTGAAACCGGATCAGCCAGGGGTTAGGGGACCAGGGGACTCTTTCATTGAACACAACTCCTAAATCTACATTAGCTTCTTAAGTTCAAACCTGTCCTGATTAAAGAGTGAAACTCCACAAATACACAGACTGTATCTTATTTCAGGACCAGACCTCCTCATACTGAGCACATCATGACCTGACAGACCCAGGTTCTGAGGAGCCCACCCTCTCACTCAACCATCTGTCAACTTGTCTGTAACTTACACTCATTTTTCTACATTTTGCAGTAAATATGAGAACAATCTCATTGACTTTTTGTATCCCATTAGCCTGGTCCTTGTCTTCCTACAGCTCCACTCAGTTCTAGTTTCCTTCTCTGCTCCGTCTGGGACTTCTGTCATAAACAACGATTTCACTGGCAGGTTTTTACCTGGACCAATCAGAGAACAGAACATTGTTGTTCTGCTCAGTGTCTGCTAGTTATTTTAGCATACAGCAGTGGAGGAAGTGAATGAAGCCAGTCTGTGTTGATAAGACTTCAAATTAAAATAAATTATCTGACAAACAGCAGCTCTCATTTACAGTCGTCTCCTTCAGCTCCGTATATTTCTCCTCTCAGTAGGGTTGTTTACAGCACATGATTTCTGTTAGCTTCTTAGCTTAGCCTCCTTCACAGCGACATACGTCACAGCCAACAGATCCAATCATTTTAAACTTCAGCAGAGGCCACGCCTCCTGCAAGAAACGCTTCTCTATAGCTGAGAGTCCAGACCCTCGGATGAAGCAAAGTGAAGGACAGGGTCTGGTTTTTACCAGGCTAGTATCTCATGGTTTTTTTTTTCCAAAAACTCACTCTGCTGCTACAAATAAGTTCTACTCCTCTCCTGTCCTCCTTCCCCTGCTCCTCTGCAGGGCAGATCCTGTTACCTCTGCCCCACATTCTGCCTGTCCCCACAGACTGCTGTTAAATAACTGCTAACTGATAGCTGACTGCTAACTGTTAGCTGACTGCTAACTGATAGCTGACTGCTAACTGATAGCTGACTGCTAACTGATAGCTGACTGCTAACTGATAGCTGAGTGCTAACTGGTAAATACCTGCTAACTACTAGCTTTTAGTTAACTGCCAGCTAATTGGTCCAGTCTCACCTCAACAGAGTCTTGTCTGTCAGTTTTGGGCGGGGCCAACACCACAGTAAGCTCCACCTCCTCCTCCAGGTCACTGTCTCCTTCTTCAGAGAACTCTCTTCTCTTCCTTGCTCCTCCCCTAGCCTCTTGTCCCTCCCCCTCTCCTCCCTCACCAGCATAGGAGGATGAACTGGAGAGGCGGGGCAAGAGGGCGGGACTGCAAGGATAAGCCACGCCCCCGTCCTCCACGCTGGCGAAGCAGAGCTCCTCACTGTGTGACGGCGAGCTGATGCTGTCGATGCCGCTGTCCCGATTGGCTAGCTTCCCATCTGTCTGAGAGGAGGGGAGGGACAAACGCTCAGAGGCCAGCTCTGATTGGTCGAGCACCAGTGGCGGTTGCTGGTCCCCTGTTTCCACAGCAACAGCATCGTCCTCCAGGTGTCTCTCTGAGACGCAGTAACCCGACTCCATGGAGAAACGCTTCTGACTGATATTGTCGCAACATGCTGCCACCAACTCTTCTTCCTCCTCATCATCAACATCATCACATAGCTCCTCCCCTTCCCCCTCCCTCCCCCCTCGCTCTGTGATGTCATCGTGTTCTGTGGCCTCACAGGGCAGCTCCTCTTCCTCAAGCAGGAAGTGAGGGGGTGAGGTAGATGATAGGGGTGATGACGGTCGAGGAGAGGAGGGCTCCAGTGAGCGGGGGCACAGAGCCCCCCCAGTAATGTCAGGCACCACAATGATCTGCTCCCTGTGAACAAACAACAAACAATAAAGCACCTGTAAACAAACAACAAACAATAAAGCACCTGTAAACAAAACCAGAACAGAGGTATTTCCAGTATTACCAGTAACGACTCACCGCTCAAACTTCTCGATGAGTGACAGGACGCAGGTGGGGGAGGCGGTACCATCGGCTCGGAGGGCTCTGCAGGGCGGTGGGGGTGGGAGGGATTTGTCTGGAACTCGGGGGCGGGGCCTTGACAGTCCTGCCTGCTGCTGAAGGTGGGGGGGTTTGGGGGGAACTGTGAAGAGGGATCAGGGTCAAAGGTTACAGGTGTTCTGACTCAAAGAAGCAAAACAAAACAAAAAAACAAGATGGAGCATGTTGTACCCTGAGGTTTGGGCCCTGGCAGAGGGGGGCGGCTCCTGGTCGTCGGTGTTACTGTGGTCACAGGCAGCTCCACAGGGCCTGTGTCCATCACAGGGCCACAGCACTCCACAAGCTCCGCCCCTTCCTCTAAAGAACTGGGCGCCATGTTGGAGCTCAGCAACTGAGGACTGTCTGCGTCCAACGCCCCCTGGAGGCCACATGGTGAACAGGACGGTTCCAGAGAGAGGGTCTTACTCAGCAAGCTGGCACTGGAGGAGGCGGGGCCTGCAGAGGACAGGAGACATGTCAATGAGGCCACACCCACAATCCAATAAAATAAAAGCCTGTCATTTAGTAGGAGATAGAGTTTTAAACAGAAAATAAACATAGAAATAATAATAAACGTAGAGGTTTATACAGTGAGGGAAGAAGCAGATCACTGAACCTGACCGAGGTGGAGGCTGACCTGGAGACATGTTCTCTTCAGAGGTGTAAAGTTCAACCAAAGACAAGAAGAAGAGGGTCGACTGCACATGGAACAAGACTGTAGCTGCTCACCTGAGTACTCCCAGTGAAACCACAGTACTGCCCCTGTGTGTAGGGGCAGAGCTGACACAAGGGGTACTTAGTTGCACAGCAAGTGCAGCTTTTGTGTCGGTGGTCAGAGTGGAACCAGTAAAACAGCAGTTCCCAAAAAGATTCAGTGGTCTAGGTTGGAGGAAGGGGGGATACAAAAGCTTAACCCAGGTCCATTTGTCCTGTCAGGTTCTGTTTCCCCTGTTACCTGGAGTTAAGAAAGAACTAACTCATATTGAAGAGTTAGGTGTTCTCTTAGGTGAGTGCAGGTGTGCAGGTATGGTTCCAGTACCCAGTAACTAGACCACAGCTAGACCACAGATAGACCAGTTTGACCACAACTAGACCACAACTAGACCAGTTAGACCACAGATAGACCACAGTTAGACCACAACTAGACCACAACTAGACCAGTTAGACCACAGCTAGAGCACAGTTAGACCACAACTAGACCACAGCTAGACCAGTTAGACCACAGCTAGACCACAGCTAGAGCACAGTTAGACCACAGCTAGACCACAGCTAGACCACAGCTAGAGCACAGTTAGACCACAGCTAGACCAGTTAGACCACAACTAGACCACAGTTAGACCACAGTTAGACCACAACTAGACCACCACTAGACCACAGCTAGAGCACAGTTAGACCACAACTAGACCACAACTAGACCAGTTAGACCACAGTTAGACCACAGTTAAACCACAGCTAGACCAGTTAGACCACAACTAGACCACAACTAGACCAGTTAGACCACAGCAAGACCACAGTTAGACCACAGTTAGACCACCGCTAGACCACAGCTAGACCAGTTAGACCACAGCTAGACCACAGCTAGAGCACAGTTAGACCACAACTAGACCACAACTAGACCAGTTAGACCACAGTTAGACCACAGCTAGACCAGTTAGACCACAGTTAGACCACAGTTAGACCACAGCTAGACCAGTTAGACCACAACTAGACCGCAACTAGACCAGTTAGACCACAACTAGACCAGTTAGACCACAACTAGACCAGTTAGACCACAACTAGACCAGTTAGACCACAGCTAGACCACAGTTAGACTACAACTAGACCACAACTAGACCAGTTAGACCACAGTTAGACCAGTTAGACCACAGTTAGACCAGTTAGACCAAAGTTAGACCACAGTTAGACCAGTTAGACCACAGTTAGACCACAGCTAGACCACAGCTAGACCAGTTAAACCACAGTTAGACCACAGTTAGACCACCGCTAGACCACAGCTAGACCACAGCTAGACCAGTTAGACCACAGCTAGACCACAGTTAGACCACAGTTAGACCACAGCTAGACCACAGCTAGACCAGTTAGACCACAGCTAGACCACAGTTAGACCACAGTTAGACCACAACTAGACCACAGCTAGACCACAGTTAGACCACAGCTAGACCAGTTAGACCACAGCTAGACCACAGCTAGACCACAGCTAGACCACCGCTAGACCACAGCTAGGCCACAGCTAGACCACAGCTAGACCAGTTAGACCACAGTTAGACCACAGCTAGACCACAGATAGACCACAGCTAGACCAGTTAGACCACAGTTAGACCACAGTTAGACCACAGCTAGATCACAGCTAGACCATAGCTAGACCACAGCTAGACCACAGCTAGACCAGTTAGACCACAGTTAGACCAGTTAGACCACAGTTAGACCACAGCTAGACCAGTTAGACCACAGCTAGACCACAGCTAGACCACAGCTAGACCACAGTTTGTCCACAGCTAGACCACAGCTAGACCAGTTAGACCACAGCTAGACCACAGCTAGACCACAGCTAGACCACAGTTAGACCACAGCTAGACCACAGCTAGACCACAGCTAGACCAGTTAGACCACAGCTAGACCACAGCTAGACCA